CTCATAGAGGGTCTTCCCCTCTTGCGCTGTCCCTCCACCCTCCCAAGCATGATGTCCCTCTCCAAGGACCTGTCCCTCCTTGCAACATGCCCATAGTATGTCAGAAGAAGCCCCAGAATCCTTGCCTCCAAGGAGTTGCTTGGTTTAGCCCTCTCCATAGGTAGATGGGCTGATTTCTGGATTCTCAGTTCTATTCCATTGATCTATGTGTCTGTTATTGTACCAGAACCACATGGTCTTATGTAGTAGCTTATTCATGGTCTCTTTCCATTGCAAATGAAATTGGAGATTGCCTTTTCCATCTCATTGAAGAATGGAATTGGTATTTGTATTTGGAATGGCAGTTAATGTTTAAATTGACTTTGGTAGGATTGTCATTTTCACAATATTGAGTCTTACTGTCTGTGACCAAGGTATATTCTTCCATTTCTCCAGATCTCTTTTTGTTTCTTGTAGCAATGTTTTGTAATTTTTGTTGACTAGATCCTTTGTCTTTCAAGTTAGATTTGCTCCCAAGTATTTAATCTTATGATTGGCTATTGTAATGGGTATTGTTTTCCTTAGCTCCAGTTCTTTATTATCTTTCTTACTGTAGAGAAATCCAGTTGATTTTTATATGTTGATCTTGTATGCTGCCACTTTGCTGAGTTGGTCAACTATGTCCATTAGTTTCCTTGCTCAACCTTTAGGGTTTTCTAAGTATTCTATCATATCATCTTCATATAGAGATAATTTTATCTCCTCTTTGCCAATTTGGATATCTCTTACTTCCTTCTCTTGTCTTACTGCTACCGCTAAGATTTCCAGTACAATATTGAATAAGACAGGTAAAAGTGGGCATCTTAAAAAAAAAAGTGGGCATCTTGCCTAGTTCCTGTTCTCAAAGGGAATGCCTTTAATCTCCCTCCATTAAGAACAGTGTTGACTCTCGGGTTTGCATATATAATTTTTACTATGTTGAGGAAATTCCCTTCTATTCCTGTTTTGTTCAGTGTTTTAATCAGGAAAGGGTGTTGGATTTTGTGAAAGGACTTTTCTGCATCAATTTTTAGGATCATGTAGTTTTTGTTCTTTGCTTTGTTAATGTGGTGAATTACATTGATTGTGTTTCTCATGTTGAACCATCCTTGCAAACCTGTTATGAATCCCACTTGGTCATGGTGAATTATTTTTTTATCTGTCATTAGATTCTATAGGTCAGGATTTTATTCAGGATTTTTTCATTTATGTTCCTGAGGATATTGGCCTATAGTTTTGTATTTTGGTAGTGTCTTCACCTTGCTTTCGTATCAAGGATATGTTTGCTTCATAGAATGAGTCTGGGAGAAATCATCCTTTTTCTGTTTTCTGAAATAGTTATGTAGAGTTGGTGACAGTTCTTTTCTGAATGTTTGATAAAATTCACTTGTAAAACCATTTGGTCCAGGGCTTTTTTTGTTTAGGAGTTGTTTTATTACCTTTCTTCTTTTATAACTGGTCTATCAGGTGTTCAGTTTCAGTTTTTGTCAGTTTACGTAGTATGTGAATTTTTAAGTATTTGTCCATTTTCTCTAGGTTTTCATAGTTCTTTGAATATAGTTTTTCCATAAAATTTCATTGTTAACCTTTTTATTTTAGTTGGTTCCATTGTGTCATTGCCTGTTTCATCTCCTATTTGGATAATTTATGTTTTTTCCTTCTTTCTTTAGTTATAACCTTTTTGAAGAACCAACTTCTGGTTTTGTTGAAGGTTTCAATTGTATTTCTGTTTTCTATTTCATTTATTTCTGCCCTAATTTTTATAATTTCTTTTCTTTTTTTGAGGGTGTCGTGTTTTCTTGCTTTTTTTGGGGGGTTGCAATTTGTTGGAGATACTGGGTTAAAGAGTCAATGGTCATTTGTTTCCTTTTGATGTGTTTGCTTATTGCTATAAATTGACCTCTGATTATTGCTTTGGCTGTTTCCCAAAAGTATTGGTACATTGTGTTTTCATTGCTATTGATTTCAGGAAACTTTTCATTTTTTATTTCTTCTAGTATCCACTCAAGTTCAAGGAAAGTGTTGATCATCCTCCAAATCTATGATTTTTCCCTTCTTTATCCTCTTGCCTAATTTTGTAGCATTGTGGTCTGAGAAGATGCTTTGAATGATTTGTATGTTTTTTAATTTATTGATGCTTGCCTTGTGATCTAAAATGTGATTGATCTGTTCTGGAGAACATTCCATGTATATTGGAGAAAAAGCTATACTGTGATATTTTTTAAATTTTTTTCATTGTTGTTGTTGTTGTTACGTGCCGTCGAGTCGTTTGCGACTCATAGCAACCCTATGTACAGCAGCCCTAAACCCTGCTCTATCCTGTGCCAATCTCATTGACTCTGACACACCTATCCTGATTACCCCAGTCACTGAATCAATCCACCTCATAGAGGGTCTTCCCCTCCTACGCTGTCCCTCTACTCTACCCAGCATGAT